GCATACAAATACCTCACAAACAGTTACAAACCTGATCTAGCTTAACACCAACAAGTGATTTTCTAGCTTCTCCAATTTTGATCAAGTCAAGATCTGCTGATGGTGTTGAAAAACCTGTTGTCATTCCTCCAGGTGTGATACCTCCAGGGAAAGGAGTCTGGAAACCACCAAATTTCTTGAAAAAAAAAAAAAGGAGAAATTATGGTGCACTCAGGATGATGATTTGTTGTGACAAGAAAGAGAATTGTGAGTCAACAATTATTCCATTTGTACCAAATAATCTTTTAAAAGCAAAAATCATGGAATCAGATCCATCAGTTGAATACACTCATGGAAAGCTGGCATCTATTTGCACATAAAAGTTTTTACTCCAATAACATAAAATAAATATGCTGCTGCAGCAAAAACAATTTGATTTGGCTTTACACTCTCCACTACCTGTTGCCGTGAGTCAAGAGTTGTTATTTTCTCGCCACTTATCAGTGCACTGTGCAGGACACTGTCAGGAACTGGAGTAAATCTACAGGAGAATTGTCAAAAGAAAAAAAACCATGTAAAAAGAATGAATAGAGCACTGTAATCATTAACAAACAGTTATACAGAGTTTTCTATGGTGAATTCTGTAATAATCAACTCACTTTTCTGTCCTTGGATTTCTCTGCTTCTTGTTTCTGTAGTCACCAACTTCTGGAATACTCAACCAGTCATCTTCAGATACCTCACCCAGTTTCCGCTGAAAACAAAGACACAAGTAGTTATTCAATTTCTGATTGGTTGCTTTGAATGTCCACAGCAATTCTATTATTAAAATGTACCATGCCATCATACTCAAAAACGACACCAAAAACTAATACCTTGAGATCAGAAAACTGCTGCTGAATCTTAGGCCTTTCCTGACGATATTGCTCAATCTCTTCCTTAAAACGTTTCTCTCTAAAATGAAAATGAAGCCAAAAAAAATTCACATTTAACCACCTATATTCAGAGGATCCCGTAAGAACACCCATACAATATATAAGCTGTACACAGTAATTTATCTCTGTGTAGAACATCATACCTTCTCTCTTTTCTTCTATCATCCATTCTTCTATCAATGGAATCATAAATGGCATCTGCTTCTTCATCATCTTTCTCATAAGGACAGCTTGAGAACAAGCTTCCACCATATCCTGCAAACTTTTACACAGTTATCACAATCAACATTTTACTTTTAATCAGATTTTTTAGATCCATTACAAAGGCTGATGAGGGTTTACGATCAGATAAAAAGTTAGCCAGGGCCAGGTTGTTCAAAGCTGGGTTAAGATAATCCAGGGTTAGTGTGAAATCTCATTTCAGATCTGAAAGCTTTAAAAAAAATTTCAGTCAAATTTCTTTTTGTTTGGATGCTCTTAAAAGAACACAGAAAATTAACCCAAAAAGGCTTTTGAATAAAAGAATAAAGAAACCTATATTAAAATTTAACCTTGGGTTGGTGCTAATCGGCCTTCAAACAACTGGGTCCAGACCCACAACTTGTCTAGTTATTATTTCCATCTGTTCTTTCCAAACAACACCACATAGTGACCCCTAGTGCACTATACCCAGCTACAAAAATTACAAAATTATGCATATCCATGTTGATGTACCTCGTCATAATTTGTGTCATTTAAATCTTCCTCTTCATCTTCCTCTTGAGGCTTCTTTTCATTTGCAAAGCCTGGTTTTCCATGCCTCTCATCGCTGTTGATTCAAATGAGAGTATTAATCTACAACATATAATGAGAGGCAAACACATGACACGCAGGGTTAAGGAAGAACTCCCCCATCCAGGTTGATAATATTTCAGCTGTCCCTTTAACTCCCAGAAGTGATTAAAACGTAATTTCTCCCTATAATATCCTTACATTATCCAGCAAAAAAGTAATGAGAATACCCAAATTTATCATATACAACTTTTTATTGTCGTTCATGCAATCATCATGTTGATCATATTATCATGTTCATATTATAAGCACCTGAATAAGTTTGGCAAGATTCTCACCTTATATCCGTAGCATCCCTAGCAGGACCGATATCTGACCGGGTCGTAAAGCCAGTAGCACTGCGAAATTCAAGCACATTGTTGCTTAGAGCGGTTACAAAATTACTTCACTGGCATGAAATGCGTGACATCTTTTGATTCCTTTAGTACACGAATTCAGAAATTATATTCAAATACGAACCCTCTTCCAAGACCGGGTACGTAGCCAAGAGGAGCAGGTACTCCAATAAAAGACTTCTTTTTCTTATTCAGTAACGACATCTCCACAAAAGTTATTCAACTTTAACCGTAAGTTGGAAAAAACCTTGGAGAAATTCTAAGATGGCGGTGCGGCCTCGTTGTCGTGTGGACTTCGAAAAGCAACTGCTGACCTAGAAAACAGCATCGTCTGTGACTCATCTTAGATCGTCTTAAATCCTGATCATCGTAATTGGCACAAAGTCAGCATCTGTTAAAAATTATTGGGCATTTCAACCTCAGTTTTTCAGGTGGATCAAAACTGGGTGATATTGAAACGAAATTCAGAATGTCTTTGTCTTGAAAAACAGTATTCCAAAAATTTCCAAAAATTTCCAAAAATCAACTATTTTTCCTCAGTCATGCATTCCACAGGGTAAATCCTATGTTTGCAAGAAACTCTTTTAAATTCTTTTTTTTGTACAGAAAAGATTGTTTTCAGGCTTAAGATTACATCTTTGTGAGGTAAAAATTGTGAATAATTAATTGATTATGAGTACTGATACATCTTGGATAATGAGATATTTATTTAAGATTGTGCATTCACAACTGAGCTACCTCTATATCACAAAGAATTATCTCAAACCAGTGTTAAATCTGGTCAAACATGCATGTATTTAACTCCTGAAGTTAAAATTCTCCCGAAGTATTACCACATCTTGGGAAAAATCCACAAGAAAAATGTTATATTATTTTAAATCTCAAACCTACAAAAAATTTGCCAACTTTTACAAGGAGCACATAAAGGACAGCTTCTTAATTCAGTTTCATGTTGTTGAAAGACAGATTGGATAAATGCCTGTAACAAGCATTGCCAATTGTAATGCACCCTGTTTCCACTTTGTTTAAAATGGTCTTGTGCTGATTTGCATTCCAGTATCAAATCTAAATCATTTGATAATTGACTGACAAGTATATGTACATTTACAATCCCACATTCCTACAACTTTAATTTAAATTACTTGAGCTCTGTACACAAAAAAATCTAAGACCTCTTAGCCTTAACTTTTGAATTATGTTGGGCAATTAAATCTCGCAGTTCTTTGTCTAACTTTGCATTTCCACTATTTCCAAATGTAGCAACACATGAACGACGTTTCTGCTTTACTGTTTGTTTACAAACATCCTCCTTGCCCTTCCTATTTATGTTTGATGATGATGAGTTTGTCTTAAATGTAGCTTTTTCACTTTGTGTGCTGCTCACAGCAGCAACACAAGAGCGGCGCTTCTGCTTCACACCAACCACAGGTTCCACAGCTGTTGTGGGCCTCTTGCAAGCAGCAGATGGTGACAATACTGTGGATGATGAAGATATGGACTTGTGGCCTGGTGCAGGACAAAAGTTTGGCTCTGCAGTTCTGATTTTGCGGCCATTTTCATCATACTTATTCCTTGCAGCTGCAATTTTCTTGTTGTGTTGTTTTAACAGTGCTTCCAGACTAACATCATGAGATTGTGTTACCATTTTATGCTTTGAGGATGCATTCTTTTCACCATCTGTTTGTGCGAGGGGCTGGCTTGGTTTTTCTTTGCTTGCACTGTTTTCATGTATTGCTTCTAAAGGTCTTTGGCTGAACATATTTTTGTCCTGAAATTCTCTTTTAATAGTATTGTTACTCTGAAGGTGTCCTAGAGAGTGATCTTGACTTGCGGCTTGTGACAAATCTACTGCTCGAAGAGGCATGTTAGAAACACTACAAGCAGCCTCTTTGGAGAACATTTGATCATTCATTTTGCCCTCTTTGCCTTCAATTTGATAATGCGGCTGAGTAGGTGATGCAGGACTTGTACAAATACTACCTGGACTATTCTTGTTTATACTGGGAATGGCAGGCAACAGTCTTCTTTTCCTTCCAGGTTGATTTCCTTTCTGATATCCACTGACAGCCTTTGATAGCAGAGATGTCTTTGGTGAAGAAGCATATTCTGTGTAAGACCTTTTAACACTTTGCACTGGTGCAGGAGACATTGGGGACTGATTAGTAGGCACACGTTGGGGAGAAAAGACAGCCATGTTGTTCAGGCTACTGCTTCTATCATCTTTCTTATTAGCATGTGATGCATTTTCTGAAATGTAAAAAAAAGAAATTTTAACCAGTTCCATCCTGACATTGGTATACATATTCCACAGACTGTTCTCTATACAATTCAAAAGTTTCTTTGAATTAAAATCTTTTCCCTCTATTTGAACCTGGAAATATAATAATATTACAAATATAAACTCATTTTCTTAGTCCATACTGTAAGTTACAGAACCTTGCTTTTTCCTGCTCAGATTAATGGCCCTTGCATTTTTCACACATGCCAAAAATCCAAACAGATAAAACCTGGTCAGTAACTTACATGTACAGTACGGACCTTGAACTCAGTTAGTGAGAGGTATCTTTACCTGGTCTGTTATGAGGGGAGTTTGTCCATGGTGGTGTAAAACTGCACTGTTTGTGATGTCTTAATCTTTCAGGAGTTAAATTCCCCTCCTCAGAACTACTTCTTTGTGTGGTCTTCTTTTCATCTTTTTTAGCTGTTGATGACTTCACATCTCTTTGCACTTTTCCACTGTTCTCTCTATTATTCATGCCCTCATGTTCTCCACGTTGTGTTCGAATTGACTTTATACCAAGAGACTTTTTGCTGTTGTAATTTTTCTTCAGTTTATTGGGCTGTGGTTTTGAGCTTGTGGCAGGCTTGTCGACTTGGGCAGCAGCAAGTAGTGGCTTGGTAGTTGCATCGTGATGTGATGGGTCCTTTGGTTCATGAAGTGGATGGACTTTCTCAAACCATGAACTGTTCAGACTGTGAAGAAATTCAGTTACAAAATCAGCTTCACAAATAGACTCAAAAGTTGCTTCCTTGTGTCTGTTCAGTAATGGATCAGAGATGATGTCATAATGAAGCAAGAATGAAAACAGTGGCATACAAACTGCACCAGAATGTTTCACTGATGTTCTCGCCACATTTCATCATCTTCTTTTATCTATACCTGAACAGACACATGGCAACATGAGTGACCAGGACAGAATTTCTCCTTACAATATTAACCCTTTAACTCCCAAGATCTGATTGGTAATTCTCCCCTCTAGCTGCTACACTTTTTCTTGTAAATTGGTTACGAGAATTTGGTGTTCAATCAAGGTAATATCTCCTACCTGATGAGTTTGAGTATTCTCATTACCTGTTTGCTGGATAATGCATAGATATTATAGGGAGAAGTGACATGTTAATCACTTCTGGGAGTTAAAGGGTTAATACAATATCAAGCAGACGAGTGATGAGAATAAAGAAAAATATTAGCTAAGGGATTATTAGTTGATCCAATACCAAATTCTCCAAACTAACATCACAAGAAGTATATGGCAAAGAGTAAGGAGAATTACTAATGAGATCTTGGGAGTTAAAGGGTTAATAGTGACGTTATCTATGCATCTGTCCTCCAGTAGATCATAACTAATGACCAATCAAAACACATGTACATGTTGCTAATGTTTGCATCACATTGGAAAGCGTTTAAGCCTAGGAACTACAACATTAAAATCTCATTTTTTTTAATTGAAAACATCATATATTTGGCATTTAGCTTTCATGCAGATTTCTGTACATAATGCATTTTGCCGCAATGAGAGTTAAAGGAAAGTGATTATAATGGCAATGCTCAACTTTCATTGAGAAATCAGAACAAAAACGCGATTGATGCAACAAAAAGAAGAGCTGATAAGCTTAAGTTTTCCTACACTAACTTCCTGTATTGAGAAAAATTCAATGAAGAAGTGACGTTAAAAGTTACAAAATATTTAAGCTTCAATATAAATTAACGTACGGCGATACATTACTGACTGCAAAGCGAAACATTTCATGTTTTAAATATATTATTTCTGTGCATTACACAAAAGTTATACAAAGGAAAAAAAATTAATATAGTAAATCTACAAACAACATCGTAACCAATTCAATCAGTCGATGCCATTTTTAAGAACATCAAATCAAACTTTTCGCAAAATACTGAACGTACCCCGAGTCATTGAATTCATCTTCGAAATCTTCCGTAAAGTCGACCCATTTTGGAGCTTCAAACTCGTAATTTGGATCAGTTTCCATCTAGCAGTGGCTAGGAAGGACAATTAACTTGTCTTTATCACACCCTTCCGCTAAATGCAGGAATAAACTGCAAGAGCAAATGAACTATTCATGTTGATTCTGTTCGCTTCAAAAATGGCGCTGAAAATGCTAATCTATTTGGGTCCAGACCCTAGGGAATTTTCTTCGTCGTCTCTGCAAGATAAGGAGTGGAACGAGAAAGGTGACTGGTACTGGGTTCCAAAAAATCGGTAAAGAAGAATTTAGTTCAAATCATTGCTTTTAGAGCACATGTTTTCTGAAAATCACACTTATGGATCAGTAAATTACATCTAAGGGTTTCATAAACAGTCGTTGTTATTTCTAGCCCTCATAGCAGATTTTGTTGAAGGGGACAGTCCTCTTATACTGGGGTTCCATTTGCCTAGTTATATTTTTTCTTCAGATTGGTCGTTGTGATCTGACGTTGACCTTAGTTTAATGACGCTCGATCGAAATACATTCTAAAGAAAAATTTCCAATTAGATGTCGAAAGTAATTAGGGATTGCTCTGAATAAGTGATTGTTTTAGGAAACTCACGTCACTTTAAAAACAATTGGATTCAAAACTTAAACCAGTAGCCACCTGCTAAATCGTATTTTCCCTCGCTGCAGGCATGTTTTCTTGTAGTGAGTTCCTATTG